CCCCATAATATCAACTTCACATTGAAAGATTGGGCAAACCATGGGATTTTCTGTACCTGGTAGCATGCAGTACCACCATTTTTACCTGTGGAGCAGAATGCAGACAGTCTCAGCCTTCCGATTCTTCAAAACTCAGAAAATTAAACCCAGTTATGAAAGTCCAGAGACTTTCAGTTTTGACCTTTTGCATTTGGGAACCATCGGGGGCTATTTCATGGCCTGGTGCGGCTCATGGAAGATGCTGGGCTGGAAAGGGGCTCTCAGGCCCATCAGAAGTGCCAATCCCTGTTCCAGAGCTAGTGAAAAGGAAGAGACATCCCACTGCTAGGACTTGAGTCAAGAGATTGAGATTTGAAACAAGATCTGTTTGCTTGCTTGCTTCTTTTCCACCAATAACAACAACATTTACCGATGATACAACTCGGGAGGGGGGGGAGAGAGCCCTGCCTTTATTGAATAACAAGTGCTGGACCAAATATATAAGTAAACTCCTAGTTCTTTGCCTCCAGTTACTGCAGAGTTTGGTTCTGTTCGTGTCTTCTAAATGAATGAACTAAATGCATGGAGGGGAGAATGGGATTTTGCTTGATGGCCTTCCTAGGTATAAAGCAGGTGTGAAGGAGGCAGGCAGGATCCTTGCTCTGATCCTACTAGCAGCAGGGCTACTTGGCCCAGACGTCACTGCACAGGGGGACCATCAGTCACAGGTGCATGGTCCACCATTTTAACCCTAAAGGACCTAAAAGTACAGCTAAATAAAAAGATACCTTGTGTGTTCTAGAAATTTTTAAAAAAGTTGTTGTCATTGCATTCTTGACGACTTTCACGGCCGGGATCTGATGGTTATTGTAGGTTCTTTCAGCTCACAGCCGGGATCCAATGGTTATTGTAGGTTCTTTCGGCTCTTTGGCCATGTTCTGGGTATTTTTCTTCCTAATGTTTCGCCAGTCTCTGTGGCCAGCAACTTCAGAGGACAGGAGTTAGAACTCATGTCTGCGTTCTGAACACAGCAAAACGTTAGGAAGAAAAACCTCCAGAACACATCCAAGCAGCCCGAAAAACCTATAACAACCAAGTTATTGACATTCTTTACATTAAGCCTCCAGAACATGTCCAAGCAGCCCGAAAACCTACAACAACCAAGTTATTGTCATTCTTTACATTAAAATATTTTTTGCCTCACTTCCCACACAGTGAGGGGCAGGCCCACAATGTGAAATGGTCCAGGCCTCATCAGAGCTTTTGGAGGGCCTATCCTTGACTCTTTTTTTAGGGACGTGGTGGCGCTGTGGACTAAACCGCAGAAGCCTGTGCTGCAGGGTCAGAAGACCAAGCAGTCGTAAGATCGAATCCACGCGACGGAGTGAGCGCCCGTCGCTTGTCCCAGCTCCCGCCAACCTAGCGGTTCGAAAGCATGCACATGCAAGTAGATTAATAGGGACCACCTCAGTGGGAAGGTAACAGCATTCCGTGTCTAAGTCGCACTGGCCATGTGACCACGGAAGATTGTCTTCGGACAAACGCTGGCTCTATGGCTTGGAAACAGGGATGAGCACCGCCCCCCTAGAGTCGAACATGACTGGACAAAAATTGTCAAAGGGAACCTTTACCTTTACCTTTATCCTTGACTTTATGTGCAAAGCTTTGTGTGGACAGCTATACGGAGCTCTGTTCATCCATGTTGAATGTACAAAGGACAGTGACACAAGCAGTAGGTGTATCCCTGCTCCAACTCAGGGTGCGTATTTAAATCCTGACCATTTCTGTAATTGCACAAAATTTAAAGCTACTGTAACTACGGTAATGTAAATACTTACTACAGTAATGGCTGCTAAATTGTTGCTTTGCAAGTTACGTATGGCACACCAAAACATTACAAAGAAATACCCTCCAGTTCTCTGTAGTAGGTAATTTTGATATTGCACCTTGAATATACAGATACATGATGAAGCAAGATGTATTACTCTCACCACTGAGGACTAGTAAGGGGGGACGGGCACAGGAGTTGAAAAAAAGTCTGTCAAAATGCCTCTGAAATGCCTTAAAATGATCTGTAAGTTTTGAAAGTTCCTAGAAAATATCACTCATGATGATAAAAAAAACTAAGATCATAATCTCTTGTTAGATTACTTTTGAAATGTAACTTAGTTAAGCCCTTCTTCCCTGAAAATTAACTAGTTACAGTGGTGCCTCGTTAGACGATGATAATCTGTTCCACTAAAATTGCTGTTTAGCGAAATCATTGTCTAGCGAAAAGCATTTCCCCACTCGAATGCATTGAGACCTGTTTAATGCATTCCAGTGGGGGAAAATCGCCGTTGTCTAGCAAAGATCGGTCATAGGAAAGTCGCTTTGCGAACCGCCAATCAGCTGTTTAAATTGCTGTCTTGCGAAGCTTAGGTCCTGTAAACACCTCTTTTGCGAGCGTGGAGGGAGCTGTCAACATTGTCATCTAGTGAAAATCGGTTTGCGAAGCAGGGACCAAACATTGTCCAGCAAAATTCCCCCATAGGAATCACTGTTTTGTGAATCGCTATAGCGATTGCAAAAAGTCAATGTCTAGCGAAAAAACTGTCATGCGGGGTAACTGTCTAGCAAGACACCACTGTATAGGCAAATACATCACTTGCAAAATGGAAACAGGATAGAACTGAGGGTACCATTTTGTCCACTGTCCAAGTAGCAAATATCCTGAGCCAGTATGCTGTGCATAGAAGACAAATAGGTCTTTCTCGGATTGTATTAATGCAAATCTATTACAATGAAATAGAAATTATCTGAAAAATGTAAAACACAATAACCACATGCCATTAAGTTGATTTTGACTTATGGGGACCTTTTCCAGGGTTTCTAGGTAAAGAACGCACAGAAGTGGTTTGCCATTCTCCTCTTCTGGGAGTGCCCTGGGAATATGCAGCTTACCCAAGGCCACCCAGGCTGGCTCTTCTCCAGGATGCACAGTGGGGAATCAAGGTCCCAACCTCTGGCTCTGCAGTCAGATACCTACCTCACTGAGATATTCAGACAATGGGAGAATAGAAATAAAGCTTTCTTCATCAAAAACTCTAATATCATATGTTATGATATAGTGGCTTGCCTTAAATTGCTGTCTTGCGAAGCTTAGGTCCTGTAAACACCTCTTTTGCGAGCGTGGAGGGAGCTGTCAACATTGTCATCTAGTGAAAATCGGTTTGCAAAGCAGAGACCGACCAAACAATGTCCAGCAAAATTCCCCTATAGGAATCATTGTTTTGCGAATCGCTATAGCGATTGCAAAAATTCAATGTCTAGCGAGACACCAGTTACCCTGTCATGCGGGGTAACTGTCTAGCAAGACACCACTGTATAGGCAAATACATCACTTGCAAAATGGAAGCAGGATAGAGCTGAGGGTACCATTTTGTCCACTGTCCAAGTAGCAAATATCCTGAGCCAGTATGCTGTGCATAGAAGACAAATAGGTCTTTCTCGGATTGTATTAATGCAAATCTATTACAATGAAATAGAAATTATCTGAAAAATGTAAAACACAATAACCACATGCCATTAAGTTGATTTTGACTTATGGGGACCTTTTCCAGGGTTTCTAGGTAAAGAACGCACAGAAGTGGTTTGCCATTCTCCTCTTCTGGGAGTGCCCTGGGAATATGCAGCTTACCCAAGGCCACCCAGGCTGGCTCTTCTCCAGGATGCACAGTGATGAATCAAGGTCCCAACCTCTGGCTCTGCAGTCAGATACCTACCTCACTGAGATATTCAGACAATGGGAGAATAGAAATAAAGCTTTCTTCATCAAAAACTCTAATATCATATGTTATGATACAGTGGCTTGCCTTTCCATTAAGGTTAAACTGAGGCAAATTGTACCTCGAGAGACCTTTTCTGGGATTAGCAACTCTGCCCAAAATCACTACTGTACTGTTAAGTAGTGAAAAAAAGCTTTTTTTACTGAACTACACGAGCCTTTTTTTGGGATGTGAGAAGTTATTATCATCAAGGAAAAAGGCTGTACACAACTTCTTCCAGTATAACTCAATTCAATAATCTTGTATTCATTCCTTCTTCATTTTACTCCAGTAATTAAATTCATAAGCAAGAGGTGTCTTTTCAATAAAGATTCATGTTTCTTTGCCTTGAGGAAGCTTTGCTTCAACCAGACGTCCTGCCTCTATTCACTAAATTGAAGCACAGCCATGTGAAGAAATGCAGGAATTAAAACATTGATGATACTGCACTACTTTATGTATACAAGGTGAAACTGCTCTACAATATTTCCACACACACCCCTTGGTATCCTTTTACCATTCTTTATCATTTGTAAACATTTTTAGAGGGGAGTTTCCCATCTAAACAGCTCTGATCACTTTTTAAAGCATTTTAAATAAATAAATCCCCCAACCTGGCTGGTTGAGAAACCACACTCTTAAGTATATGTAATATATACTTCATACAACCTTTTTCAGCCGAACACAAATACCTCCTTAATGTGAAACCTGTGCTGTTCCACTGGGCTATGGTTTTTCGTAGTACACAGAGTTCAAATAAATAAATAAATAAATAAATAAATAAATAAATAAATAAAATTTGTGGAAAGCTGTTCTGATTGTTGTATTGGGTAATCTTTGATTACTTTTCTAATCTCTAATGCTTTTAATGGGTTGTATTTAATTACATCCTTCCAAAAGTGGGGCAGATCCCACTGACAACTTGAATACTTTCTTCCTCCTACAGCTTCCTTCCATGTCCCCCCTGCCATCTGCTCCCAACGGTCCTCTTTGGAGCACATTTGTGGGACATGCAGAATCTGAGCAACTTCCAACATTTGCATAGTATTAGAAGTAGCTCAATATAGGTTTTCATTTTTGTTTTTTGGGTAGTTCTGAGTGGTATTTTACATACTGCTTTCGCTGACAATTGAGCCACCTTGATGGTTTCTTGAAGAAATGTAGGGCAACAAATCTTTTAAATAAATAAATAAGCACAGCATGGGAATGGTAGGATAAAGAGAGCTCATTTTTATCATTGTCTTCATAGAGATTTTAGAGTTTTTTCAGTGCAATTTTTCTCTGTCCGTCAGCCTGGCTTCCTGCTGCAGGCCCCTCCAGTAACTGTAGCTTCATCCACACATTTAAGATGTAAGCTCTTTCTGTAAGACAAATGCCAAGCAGTAAGCAAGTAAGCACATACATTGAAGAATAAAGAAATCACCTGCCACTTCTGCTGGAAATAGACTTTTTACTTCACCACATGAAAGCCTAGGTTTTCTGGAAAGCTTGAGATACACTGTCAAATATTTATAACAACTTTGTTATATACTACTTCTTGATTTTGTTGTTTAAGACTTTGAGCTGCACTTCAAATACATCTTACAGCATCTTTACCAACCACAGAATTTAAAACTGTCTGCCAGGAAAAATCCTCTAAGTATACTTCATAGAAACTGTCTGTATTAAACACATATTAAGATATTCCAGGTAAGCAAATTGACAGGGGGCCCTTTTGAAAGAGCCATCCCTCAAGGAGGTAAGAGGGATGGCTTGTAGACAAAGGGCCTTCTCGGCAGCTGCCCCCAGACTATGGAACGCCCTCCTGACTGAAATTCGTCTGGCACCGACACTGATGATATTTCGGTGCCAGGTCCAAACCTTCCTGTTCCAGAAGGCTTTTAATTGAAATAACATAACATTAGCCGCCTAGAGTGGTCCGTTTGGACCAGATAGGCGGGGTATAAATCAAATAAATAAATAAAATAAATAAATAAACTGTGAGTCTTGATGATGGCAATTTTAATTGTATTTTAATCGTATTTTAATTGTATTTTAATCATTTTATATTTTATTGTATTGAATTTTAATTGTTGTAAGCCGCCCAGAGACCTTTGGGTAGAGTGGGCGGCATATAAATTAAATAACTAAATAACTAAATAAATAATAATTATACTTAAAGTTGGGCCCATATGGCCAATAGAGGATTTCTGTGAAGAATATACTATATGCTCTGTTAATGTCACAAGTAAACAGAGTTTTAAATCTGCTTCATATCATTTTTTAAAAAAACCTAGTCAGAAAGAATGGAAAGAGCTAATATTACGCTTCTTTCATAGATCTCTTAATTCAACTAAACTCAGTCCTGAAGGGAATATCTTGAAACCAACTAGTACATCACTTCATAGATTCGGTTGTTGCTACTCAAAAATTAGAATCACCTAAAATGAAACCCAAGGTAAATTTTGAAGTTATTACTTGAAAAAAAAAATCTTCTAGTTCTTTTGAAAAGAATTAAAATAAATGAATTAAAGCCGAAACATTTTTCAGGGGCACTTTGTGCTTCTCAGATTTGCCACTGTAGTTAGTTATGTAGTTCAAGTTGGAATCACTTATAGCAACCCTAATAGGACTTTCTTTAGTAAAAGGCAAAAGATTTTTATGATCTGAAGAGAAACCAGAGTATCCTAATAGGACTTTCAAGGTAAGTGGGAAAATTTAAGGAGTAGTTTTACCAGTTGCACCTGTCACTGAGTTTCCATGGCAGAACCGGGGGATCAAACCTGGGTCTCCTGAGTCCTAGTCTATCATTCTATCCACACTAACACTGGGTACCCCAGGGCCATTGTTTTTCTTCAAAAATGAAATTCAAGACAAAATTTGAATTTTGATATTTTTAAAAGAGTTTTTTTTAAGGTGATAGATTCGTAACAGGAAAACCCAACTAGTGGGAAAAGACAGGATATACCCCTTCCTGTCCATGTGAAAACTGGAAGTAAAACAATTGGATCAATGAGCTGTCACTTGGAGAAAACTACTGGAGTTTGGGCTTCGATCAATCTGTTTATTGTCTCTTCATAACTCTCTGCTTTTAATGTTGTTTAGGGATGTGTGACGGTTTAGTTCTCGGGTCATTTCTGATAATAAGTTATCAGCATTCACACATTTCTTCATACAGTATTCAGGTTGGAAAGATATTTGATTAAAAGAATTTGAATGAGAGAGAAATACAAGCTGACAGATTTGTCAATCCAGGCCCAGGGCTCTGGGTGCTTCCTAGTTTTTGTTTTGTTTTGTTTTGTTTTGTTTTAAACTCACTTTGAATCCCAATATCTTCAACTTCTTTAGTATCAAATTAGTGTTTTCTTTTTCATGATATACTCCTCCTCTTTAACACCTACATGACAGGAAGGACTTGAGGCTCAAAAAAGATAGACAGAAGAAATTGAAAAAGACAGATTTTGTTTTCCATTCCAGCTTTTGTTCCCTTCATAGTTCTTCTACTGCAGGTTCTCAAATGTATAGGCAAAGGGTGAAGCCATTCAGAAATGTTAACGATTTTCCATTTTTCTATAATTAAACTGGATGGCCAAGTGTGAGTCAGTGTTCAGGGGTTTCGGACTCTCTCTGCTTCAAAAAGAAATGAGAACTTATGTCTTAACAGGAGGTACAGTACATCAGAAGATGAACGACAGCAAAAGATGAGAATTCAACTTACCTGTGTTTCTTCCTTTTAGACTGAATTACCGACACAGACTTTGCAGACACAGATTCTGCTTTGGCAGAGTTCACTCTTCTGCTCAACATCTCTTCAAGATGCTTCTGCAGTATCATCACAGGCTTTAGTCAGTACCATTTCACAGGAGAAAAAAAAAGGAAGACAGAAGCAAGCATCTTGCATCTTGATCCTACAGCAGGGGCGATGAAGGTTTGGACTTCCAAGTATTTTGGACTCCTGAGAAGCTCCAGGCAGAATGGTAAGGGGGCTGTGGAAATTATAGTCTGAATCATCCAGAAGGCTATCAGTTCCCAAACCCTGATCACTGATTCTGAAATGAAAGAGAATGAAGGTACAATTGTTGTTTAGATTTTAAATTTTAATTAAAGTTGTAAAAAACTCTTAAAAATTGAGCTATCCAGCAGTTCTAATGATAAAGTCTACTTTATAAAAACGAAGCAGAAATATAAACAATTAGTATATTTTGCTTAGAATTTTGAACTTGCAAAGCAAGCATGAAACTAATCAGATCCTATTTATGAACAGCTTTCAACGCCCAGTTTATTTACAGAAAATTCATTATGAAAATACTTTTCTAGGAATACCAAACTTCTGTATGAGTTGGAATACAAACCAATTTCTCTTCCCCCCCCCCTCCTCAGCATCTTTGGTCTTCTGGGTGCTTTGTAGCATAAAAAAAAGTTATGCCATCTTTGCTCAGAGCAACAAATACACTGTATTAACATGTGTAAATCCCTTTAGATGATGGAAGTGCTTTCATGTTGTCACATGAACTATCTAGTGCATGTCTAGATTGTGAGTCATCATGACCTTCTCAATCAACTACTTTTTTAAAAAAACTTTTTTATTTTTTGGGTTAGGTATGGGAATAGGGGACAGGGGACATGGAATAAACAAGGGTTGTAAATCAATATGGACATTTTACAATACTCATTCTTATCTATTAAATTTCAAAGATAGATACGTTTCTAGTGTAATATTCTATTTCTAAATTAATCTTAGGCTTTCAATTATCATATATTAATTTGCATTCTGTTTCCAAGTCAGTCGTAAAATTTCTGACAACAATCTTCATGAGTCAGCTTTCTTATTGATAATTTATCTATTTCTGCATAATCCAGGATTTTTGCTATTATCTCCCGTTGTGATGGATTCTCTGGGTCTTTCCAATGTTTAGCAAAACAAATTCTTGCAGCTATCAAGATATTTCTCAATTTTATTATATTGCTTTTATGCCATTTTTTATTGTTGGTCCTCCACTCGGATCTAAATGG